AAAGAAATTTCTGACATCGATTTTCCATTTCCTTTAGTACCAATTTGGAGGTGGAGTGGCCGAGAATACATGGAAAGGCATAGAACACAGGACATGCCGAATTAGCATTAACCGGCCTCATGGAGACAACAATTATTTCTTCCAATTCAAGAGCTTTTCATTAAGAGCATCCAAGATGAACTGAAAAGTGGAGGCTTTTTATCTTCTATCAAATAACCGTCATCCCATATATGTAAAAGGGAACTCAATTTTTTGCATGCCCAAGGTCCTCTTAATCATCCTCATTCTTCTATGGTTACATTTCCAGAGGCTACAAAGAAAATCTTTTCCCTGCTAATTTTTTGACCCATTGCTATCTGATATTGCTCAAAGAATAGATTTATTTCTCGCAATGACCTTTGAAGACCCTTGGAGAAGATGATCAAGTCATCCGCAAAGCATAAGTGTGTTACCACCAAAGATCCCGCCGAAGTGCCGTATGCTGCAATCTTACCATCATCAACCAATGCATTCAATCTCCTTGTCAAAGCTTCTAAAACAATGATAAACAAGTAAGGGGATAATGGATCCCCTTGTTTTATTCCACGCGATGCTTGAAAATAGTCAACTGGACTCCCATTAATTAAGACAGAAAACCAAATATTTTGATGGTTATTCAATGTCAGCATTTCTTGTAAGGCAAAGAAAGTTAAAATAAGATACCAATATTCGTTAGGTAAAGTTGAGAATACAAGTCCTCCAAAGGGAGAATTATAGAACATCATTTTTTATACTCATATCCCAAAAAAGAAAATAGGTTACTTTAGTGTTTAAATTAATATTTTTTTTACTACAAATTTGAAAACTCAATGTGGCTATTTTTTTTTATGAGAACCAGGACGGTACCTGGCGGGCATCCCCCCGATTTTATTAATATTAAAAAAAGAGTACACCAGCAGTGCTTAAAACTTGCCTAAAAGAAAAGAGACTGCCTTACAGAGATTTATCTACTAATCTCATGGCAGCTTTGCTTGCAATAACTAAGAAGATGCCTTACAAAGATATTCTATAATCCCATCTCTTTTTATGACTATTAAGAATTAATACTAAGAGAATGCCTCACAAAAGTTAGAACAAAAACCCTACAACATTTTTTATTTACTATGCCTTACATACTACCCTAATCTAAGCTTCCAATATTATTTAATTCTTACATATGGGAAAGAGAATTTATCCAAATACCACTTTTCTCGTAGAGTTGCTGGGAGTTCATCCCGATGAGCATAGTGATTGGTAGCTCCACTCGCAGCTCATTTTGCTAATTCATCAGCCATGGCATTTGCTTCCCGATATATATGAACAATTTTGGAAGTGGAAACTTTGAGCAAAACTTGAATTTCTTTGAAGATGAAATGTAACCGCCAAGGATCAATGTGCACTATTATTTTTGGGATGGATAAAGTGATATGAAAATATTACCGTGAACGACGTGGAAGCAACCTCAAGACTTGGATCAGTTGCAAAAAGGTACCCACAAAAAGTTCGAAGAAAATGAGATGGATAGATGAGAAATGAAGAAAGTGTTATGGCTAGCAACCGCCTAGATACTCTTCAAAATAACCCTCACCCTAAAACTTCCGACGAAAACGGTTTGACAATGTTCTATGAAACAGCTACAAATCTTCACCAATTGAGAACACTGCACTCAACGGCACGATTGTTACCAGTGCAAGTACATAGATTTGCACGAGATAAAATAATCCTAAAGAATTAAGAACAAAGAGATCCTCTCTTGTTTTTCATGTTTAAAATTCATCAAAAGTCTCTTCTTTACAATGGAGGCTAGCTTTCTCTTAAATAGAGAGTATTAGGACCGGCCATGTTACAAAAATGGGAAAAATAATGAAACTCAAAAAGTTCCAGAAAATATTGAAAACTATTAGAAAAACAGAAAATTCTTTCGTCGACTTTGTCGTTGATGTAAGTACATCGACAGAGAGGTCGACAGAGCCTTGCTGGAGTTTCTTCACTTTTTAGTTTCGGCTTCAATCTTCCATCGTCTTTAAGCCAATAAGTTATCAATTCCACCAATATGATCACATTAATATAGTGGTCATCATAGCATGGAACAATCCCTAGGGGTGTAATCATGATCACATCATTCCCCCTTTCTTCGAAACGATTCGTCCTCGAATCATGTAACCTACAATGCTGGTGGAAAAATTTCTTCATGTACTCTTTTTGCAGCTGCATATGAGGACAAAGGAGATAATAAATCTGCAAATTTGAGAATGGATAAAGAACCCCCATGCAGTTTGAAAATGCACCACCAAACACAAAGTCTATATGTTCTATTTCGACAAAGTGGAGCAACGGTTGAGGTTCTTCCACTCTAGCAACTTCAAGAGGCTGTATTTCAGATTCCTTTGGCAAGGAAATGGGCACTTCAACATTTGCAACCTGTAATGAAGATATAGAAATAGCAAAAGAAGTAATATGGTTAGAAAAGTTATCTTCCATAACTAAATCTTCAATCTTTTGCTCAAACTCTTTTTACCACTCTTCACACTCCTTTTTCTCCATGACAACTTCAAGCACATGTTCTTCAAGCTCTTTAACTCGGTGTAATTCCATCTCTTCAGCAGGCTCCTTTTGAAGCAATGTTATTTCTTTCATTTTCTCTAACAGATTCGAAGATGCACTCAATGGTTTCAAAATATCTGGATGAGGAATGTTTTGGACTTGTCGTTGTGCTTGTTCAAATGCTCTCTGTTCAGCTCCAAGAACCTTTGCTTGCTTTATAATCATTCTACACCTAGCAAGATCTTTTTCTTTCTCCCTAAGTTGATCCTGTCGAAAAGAGGCAGGAGCAAAAGCCTTACAAAGTATGCGAGTCAAGTCTCTCCATGAAGCAGCCGGTGGATCATTATACCATTTTCTAAAATATTACCGTGAACGATGCAGAAGCAACCCCAAGACTTGGATCTCTTGCAAAAAGGATTCGAACCCACAAAAATTTTGAATAAAATGGGATGGATAGATTACAAATAAAGAAAGTGTTATGACTAGCAACCCCCTAGATACTCTCCAAACAACCTTCTCCCTAAAACGTCAGACGAAAATGGTTTGATAAAATTCTATGAATCGGCTAACAAATCTCTACCAATTGAGAACACTACACTCAACGGCACGATTGTTACAAGTGCAAGTCCATAGATTCGCAGGAGCCAAATTAACCCTAAAGAATTAAGAACAAAGAGATCCTCTCTTGTTTTTCATGTTTAAAATTCATCAAAACTCTCCTCTTTACAATGGAGGCTAGCTTTCTCTTAAATAGAGAGTATTAGGACCGGCCATGTTACAAAAATGGGAAAAATAATGAAATTCAAAAAGTTCCAGAAAATATTGAAAACTATTAGAAAAACAGAAAATTGTTTCCTCGACTTTGTCGTCGATGTAAGTATATCGACACAGAGGTCGATAGAGCCTTGCTGGAGTTTCTTCATTTTGTAGTTTCGCCTTCCATCTTCTATCGTCTTTAAGCTCATAAGCTACCAATTCCACCAATATGATCACATTAATATAGTGGTCATCATAGCATGGAACAAGCCCTAGTGGCCTAATCATGATCACATCATAAAGTATATATTACTTCCTCTCTTTTCTTTTCTTTTTTTTTAAAAAAAAATCAAGGCAAAGGTAGATCCAAATGTTATTTATAGGTCGCATTTCTTTCTCAATATAATATTAAGTATATTGTTTCTAGTTCTACCATTATCTCTTTCAGTTATTTATATTTATTCATGATAACTACTTACTTTTCCACTTGATTTTAATTTTTTTTTTTTGTATAATTTCAACATATTTAATGAAGGAAAATATAACTAAGCGACCAGTAAAAAACAAAGTGGAAGTAATACATCTTCCTTGCATTTTCTTAAAACTTGAAAATTTGAAAGCCTGGTAAGACTTGAGAATTGAGTGACTGGGAAAAAATCCTAATATTCATTTCCCGAAAATTAACAATTCCTTTGGGAAAAATGCTTTTAGATTTGAAATGATTTGAAATGATTAAAGAGGGAACAATAATCTAGAATATTCACCTCCCCCTCTCTCTCTCTCTCTCGAAACCCTAGCGCGGCCCTCAATCTTTCTACCCATCGGCGGCCATCATGGCCGGCGATCAACAGGGGGACTCCCCACTGGACTCCCTAGATCCTTTGCAAGTTTTTTTCAACAGCCAATGGAATTGGAGCGACAAAAATCATCGCTTATAAAGCCGGTGAAATTTGTCGATGGAGCACCCGTGCTCGAATTTGAAGATGAAGAATTTGAAAGACTCGTGGCACAACATCGCCTGAGTTTCATACCAAAATTCTCCTACGGGAGACCTAAGATGGAGGAAATTCTTAAAGAATTTCGCAAGATAGGTTTTCAAGGAAGTTATGTGCTTGGATTAATGAACCCAAGGCACATCCTTATTCGGTTTGATTGCAAAGAGGATTATCAGAAGTGTTGGATTCGTACATTTTGGAATGCTGCTAATGACTCCAGGTTTTACGTATGAAGAAGACCCGCCAATTGTTCCGATATGGGTGGCGTTGTGATCTTCCGATTGAATACCTCAATCCGGAAGTAATTTTCTCCATGGCGACTACCATCGAGAAAACCGCTAAAGGTGGATGACCCAACTTTGAACATGACCAAGCCATCAATGGCCAGGTTTTGTGTTGAAGCAGATTTGATGAAGGAATTTTTGAAATTCGTCCGTATTGGAAAGAAGGGAAGAAAGCATGATCAATACTTTACATACGAGCATATCCCAGCGTATTGCTGAAAGTGTTGTAAAATTGGTCATAAAAGGGATGATTGCAAGAAAGGTGTGGCTCTGCAGGCATTTCCTACTCTACAACAAAACAATGCGGTGAAGGAATCTGAGCAAACTAATAAGGGAAAGGGGATTGTCTTGAAGCCCCAAAAACCAAAGTGAACCTCAAGTTGGTGTTGCGATCAAGGAGAAGATGGGTAATGCCGTCTCTTCCTCAGGCTTAACAACAGAAGAAAAAGCTGCAATCCCAGTTGATGTGCAAGAAAAGGCTACGAATTTGGTTGATTTGACAGTAAATGCTTCTCATATTGTGGTTGAAGAAGGCCGCAGTAATTTGGAACAAGAACAACAAGCTATTTCTCAACAGCGTGCTGTCTTGACTGATGGAGTTACTTCGACGGACAACGTTGCTGTACAGGTGGTAGATGAGCAGAAACAGTGCGATGTTTCGTCATAGTGCACTGTCACAACTGAAGGTGATGTGATTCAAAATCAAACCATTTTGCAGCCTTAGAAACAATTGATGAGACTGATGAAGAGGTTGAGGAGGTTTACTCTGAAGAAGGTTTGTTTAATCAGGTTACAAAAGGGATAGTGGCTGTTAATCCGGATGCTATGCAGGAGACGCGATCTCCTCCAATTGATTTTGCTAATAAATTCTTAATCCAAGATGATGCCCAAGTGGATTATCATCAAGAGGAAGACTCAGATGATGTTCAACATATCGAGAGTGATCGATCAAAGCTACTTAGGGTTTCTTGTACGGAAGCCATGAAAAACGACAAGAATTAGGAAAGAAAGAAAACTATTTTGTATTAATTAACGGGTGATTACAGACGGTTAACACCGTATTTATACACATACTGAGTAACCGCCTTACTACTAATGCTAAGGACTAAAAAATACAAACAAGTCCCTATAGTTACAAAAAAATACAAAACTGGTCCCTGATCAAAGCATCAAAACAAATCATGTCAACCTGGATCTTCTGGTTCAAGTTCCTCCAATCTTCGAACCCTCAATTCTTGCTTCAACTGTAATAATCGATGGTCAGAGGGGGAAATTGATAACGCGGTTGTTGAGCAATCGATGCAAGGAGAGTTAACAGTGAAAGGTAAACGTGGACGAAAAACAAAGGCTGAAAGGTTAAAATTGCAAGAAGGGCTAGTGTCGTGGTGTTCGCTTCGGCTTAGCGAAAACTCATCTTCTTCCAATGTTTAGTCAAGTAATCTGGAATGTACGAGGCATAAAAAGTCAGGCCTCGCAAAGAAGATTGAGTGCATTGAGAAGATTGCATAAAATAAAATTTTTCATAATTCTAGAGCCCATGCTACCAATTTATAAGCTTGAGGAGATCCGTCGACAATTAGCTTTCGATAAAAGCTTCTCCTCTTGTACCAGTAAAATTTGGGTTTTCTATCAAAACGATTATAGTGTTTCAATTTTGGAGGATAATTAGCAGGTCCTTCATATGGAAGTACAACATGGTTTAGCTTCTGAGAAATTCTTTGTTTCGGCGGTTTATGCTAAATCTACTAGATTGGCTCAACAAAGTTTGTGGTCTAATCTGGTCGATTTGTGGCGCCGGTATGGATGTGTTCCTTGGATGGTAGCGGGTGATTTTAATGTTATTAGATCGCTTGACGAATACTTTGGGGTTTTTGTCCAAGATCATTATGCCATTGAGGATTTTAATGACTGTATTACTGCATGTGAGTTGTTGGAGCTTCCTTCTGTGGGAGAGGAATTTATGTGGTGTGGTACACGACAGACAGGAAGGGTTAGTAAGAAACTAGATCGGGTTCTCCTTTCTATTGTATGGAATTCTATGTTTCCCGCCTCCTTTGTTGAAAACCTAAACAGGACGTCTTCAGACCACAGTCCACTTCTACACAAATTTGATCAACAGGAGGTTGGGAGATCTCAGCTTTTTCGTTTTCAAAATATGTGGTTTAGACGACCTAATTTTTTTGTTCTTGTAAAGAAAAGATGGGAGGAGCCGAATCAAGCTTATGGTATGCTAGCCTTTTCATTAAAGCTAAGGAGATTAAAAGGCAAGTTGAATGAAAGGAATAAAACGGTTTTTGGGAATGTTTTTGAAAACATTCGGAAGGCAGACGAACATGTGCAAACCCTAGAACGTGTTTATGATGTGGATTCGTCTGAAGAGAACTGGTCAAGCTTGAATGCTGCGAAAGCTTCGCTCCTTGCAAAGCTTAAGGAACAGGAGGATTTTTTGCGCCAAAAAATGAAGTTAAAATGGCTCAAAGAAGGGGATGCCAATACAAAATTTTTCCATGCCTCTCTGAAGGAAAGAAGGTTGCGCATGGGAATTCATCGCATTCAAGCGAAGGACGGAACTTGGCTGGAAAGTAGGGATCAAATAGAGGGGGAAGCAATTGATTTTTTTCAAAGACTGATGAGTGTAAAATGTTGTGAGGATAGGGCTGAGGCTCAGGACTCCCTCCTTGAACACATTCCAACATTATTGGAAGAAATTGATAATGTATCTCTCACTAAGCAGGTTGAGCTCACAGAATTGCGAGAGGTTGTTTTTCATCTCATTGATGAGAGCGCACCAGGGGTAGATGGTTTCGGAGGTTCTTTTTACAGGTGCTATTGGGACATAATATCCAATGATCTTTTGATGGCATGCTGAGAATTTATGCTTGGAGTTCCTTTGCCGCGAGCAGTTGCGAGTACAATGGTTGTCTTGATCCCAAAGAAAGCTTCTGTCACTTCCTTTGCGGATTTTCGTCCGATAAGCTTGCGTAATTTTCTTAATAAAATTTTCACAAAAATCATTACGGAGAGATTGAAGCCTATTTTGCACAAGTTAATATCGGAACACAACAAAAAACTCAGCGTGCAGTGGGTAAATTGTGAGAAATTACCCATGGCATACCCATGAATTACCCAAGAAACATTGACCAAGATCCGGACTTAACTTTACCCTCAACATACCCCACGATTCACCCACGAAATTACCCTCAAAAAAAATTCATGGGTATACCATGGGTGATGTTTTCCCGCCAAAAGATTTGACACGAATTACCCACAAAATCTGTTGTGGGTAATTACACACGAATTTTGTTGTGGGTATTTCGTGGGTATTGTTTTCCTGTCAACTATTTTCCCACGTTTTACCCACAAAATGTGTTGTGAGAAATTAAACAAGATATCTTTCGTGTGTAAGTCGTGGGTAATAATAATATTTTCCACGGTTTACCCACGATGCGGGAAAGTCGTGGGTAAAATAGAATCACAAATTTTCAATCACTTCTTTTTTTAATTAATAGTTTGATCCTATTAATTGATTTATTTAAAGTAATGCGTTTGTTGGATTTTTTTATCTTATTATAATCCATTATTGTTGAGAAGTATGCACGTATATATATGAAACTGATGTAAACATTTGTTATATATAGATAGTAAGTTGTGACATATATATTGATAATGTCTATGATCACAATTATGATTGGATAAGTTGTGACATATATATTGGTAAGGTTTGTGATCACATATATGATCATATGACAATTAGAGTAGAGTTTATTTGAATAAGACAATTAGACTTCATTTTAAAAAGACAACTGATGATCGATATTGATCATGACCATTAAAGTATAGTATTATTTCTTTTTAGTTGCCACGTATACGTTGATAATGTTTGTGATGTTATGACTTGATAAGTAATGATAACTAATCAGTTTAGTACACGATTAATAAAATTTCAAGGCTGAAATAAAAAACGAATTATAAACTTATTTTTATTAATGTTTACTAATCACATCATTTTTCCTTAAATGAGTTTGATTTTAATATTCATTTGGACCAAATTGAAAAGTCGTTTTGGGACGGGGAGTACAAATTTAGCATTATGTATACTATTTGGGTTAAAATTGAAATAGAAAAATTATTCATTAAAGGTATAAATAGAAATATTTACCTTGACACATGGTTCAAATAAGAAAAAAAGTTCTAGGGTGTCACTTTGTAAATTCAAGGGTGTCTGATTTGTAATTTAATAAGGACCATTTTGACATTTAGAGATTTAATTTGTCAAAACTTGAAAATAAAAATAAAAAATTATCTTCCGAAAAAAAAAGGGAAAATTTGGTTAAAGGGCGATGGAAAAAGTTCAAAATTAATAAAAGGGGTATGATCTTAAAATATTTTTTATGAAGGGCGGTAACTTATTTATTAAAATTCATAAAATAAAAAATACTTTAAATTGACAGGTATACCCTTATAGTTTTCTACACAAAAAATAAAAAATAAAAGCCTAAATCTTAGAGAGTTGTTTCGCCTTTCGACCATTCTCTTGCTAAGGCATTAGAAATAACGACCAAAGAAGCTGCTCTCAAATTGGAACAATTACACGCACTATTTACCAATAAGAACACCAAAAATTGAGAGTCCAACCTCCTCTTAACACTATGCAACTGCGAAGTTCTTGAGTTCTTTTTCCTCATATTCCAAGAACTCAAAACCCACTGTCGACAGAGGTAAATTTTTATCTTTCTATTATACATGTTTTTCATCCTATTTGTGAATTGTAAATCATGTATAAGTAGGTGCAGTTTATTAGGGTTTTGCAATAAAACGAAGAGAATAGTTTTCAACTTCCTGATTAAATGCATGAAATCCTGAACAAAAGTGTGAGGTTAAAAAAAATTGATTGCTGATTATGATGATGATGATGACAATGATGGTTTTTTTTTGTGTGCAACTTTAATTTGATGATGATGATGATGATTTGTTTCTTTTTTTCTTTTTTTTTTTTGTTCAATTTAGATTTTTTTTTTAAGAACTTTCTAAGGTATTTGAGAGAAACTATCTGAATTTCTAAACTCATGCCTCTTTTTTTTCGTTTTATTTTCTATAAAAATAAATAAAACTACTCAAGATTTACAAATGGAGATTTTGTTTAAAATCACTACTCTTGAACGCAAAGAAAATTAGAGTCAAATAAAAAGAAGTATGACTAGAACAATGATCATAATCTAGACATGTATAGGGCATGCATGCTTAGCTTGTGACTTTTCCCTTGCCAAAAACGTAAAGATGCATGGAAAGTTTGATTTCTTCTTTTCATCGTAACTTCGACCTCAGTTTCAGGAAAAGATTCACTTTCTATGTTGCTGGTATACTTCATCGTTTGGTTCATATATGCCTTTAGGCTCAGTCTTTGATGGCCAGCAGCATCAGTTGAGTGGTCCAAACTCTTAGCTTCTTTATTTTCTTCAAGACTTTCTAGCCCCTATCTACCTTTAAGCTATAAGTAAGCCTATGCAAGAACCACTTAAGTATGTGATTTTGCCTAATCAGCTTCTTGAGTATCCTGGTGCAACTCCACCATTTTTTCTCTAGCTTCTTTCACCCTCAACTGAACAACAATCTCTAGCTTCTTATTATAAATTGAAATCAATAAGTAGTCTAATATGTATAGATGAACATGTACGATAGTTTCTAATGCTAATTTATAATAATCTTTTTTTTATGCTTATTTCAGATGGAAAAATCAATTTTTTGTTAATGTCATTGGAGAGGTGAGAATGTTGTTTCTTCATATGGTTCCGTCATGTATAGAGGAGGAATAACTAATTATATCACCGTATCGAGCAGAGTGACCTTTCGGGAGTTTTTTACCATTGTTTATGAGAAAATGATTCTTGATCCGACAGACAAAGTGATACACTTCACTGTAAAACATGACTACAAACAACTCATTTTGTTGAAAGATGAGATGGATTTGCAGACATTAATCAATGCTAATGATGATTTTTCCC